GCCGGGTTTAGTAATAAAATTATGAGATGCTTGTGCACTCTGTGTGTATAAGTGCATGTGTGAGAGAGAAAGTTCTCCATATGACATGTTCTGATGGACAAGATGTGTTCTGAAGTGACACGCAAGCAGATGAATCCAGTGATCGCCCTTGGAGGCTGTCACATCAAAGTGAAACTAGAGACTACGAATAAAGCAGAGAGGATAAATGTGAACCTTACGACATCGCTGCTTTCAATTAGAAGTCAGATATCTGTTTACAACGTATGTGTGGCTACTCATAGCAGAAAAACCTCGCATGACGCTAATTTTAATTTAACCCATGTCTCATCTGCATCCTAAAATACCAGTCACACGGAGCATAAATATTCTCAAACGAGAACAGAAAGGAAATGACTGCATATGAACATCACAATACTGGTCACAAGAGTAACATCAAAAAAGTGAAAATATTTCCTAACCAGAGATAAGCAATTTTTCTGTCAACTCTAAGTGCATTTACGCGCACTTTAAAAAGACGATTTCAGTTAGCCTAAAGCAATTCATCCTTTTAAAATGTCATACAAACGATTTAGTCGGACTGAAATCACACAATTTTTGTGAAGTCGGAATAACAGACCAAGACAATGTAACATGTAAACAACATTTACATTTACTGAAATGCATGATGTGACAATCACAGCCAATCAGAACATAAGTGGAGCAGGATTTTGGACGAATGGGATTTTCACAACATAGGAATAGAAACCCTGACAAAATGTTATGTCTTCTGTTGCAGTTGTTGCTGGTAAGGTCACAAACTCAGATTAGCATGTAAGAGATGCATGTTTTAATCATTTTTAGCTTGATGTCACTGAGCCTTGCTAGGACATGGTGTGAGAGACAAAAATATCTCATTCATACTTTTTCAGAACAAAAGTCAATGTGAAACCTACCACAGACATTGAGCTAATCATTTTTAGCTTGATGTCACTGAGCCTTGCTAGGACATGGTATGAGAGACAAAAATATCTCATTCATACTTTTTCAGAACAAAAGTCAATGTGAAACCTACCACAGACATTGAGCATTTTTTTTTTACCAGAAAAGCTATGAAACATCCAAACCTATATGACAAGGATGCTCCTATTCAATTTCTCTGTCTAGCTAAACAAGCTTGTATTATAAACTAATACAAAACAACTCTATTGAATAAACTACAGCAGACTGCGAGCATCTGTTTGTCACCAGAAAAGCTATAAAACATCCAAACCTCCACTACCGTTGAAACATTTGAGGTCAGCAAGATTTTTTTTAAGTTTACTTATCCATGTACGTACTTTATCCTTGTGATGGCAAAGCTGAATTTTCACACATTATTCCAGTCTTCGGTGTCACATGATCCTTCATAAATTATTCTAATATGCTGATTTGATGCTCAAGAAACATTTATTATAATAATCAATGCTGAAAACAGTTGTGCTGCAGTCCTTTGAATAGTAGTGTATGTGACAAATACATTAAAGCTCTTCCAAATATTTCCCATACAAGATTCAATTGTATTTCTTTCCGTCTAGCAAAACAAGTCCATATTATAAACTAACGCAAAATAACCATACAATAAATACCACAATAAAACTCAATTTAATAAAACAATGTCAAATTCAAGCATCTATTTGTCACCAGAAAGCCAACAAAACTTCCCTAACCTTTGTGACAGGGCTAAATCTGATTTTCATTAAATGTGACTTTTTTTCTGTAGTTCCTGTTAATCTGTTCCAAATATCTCACAATATAATTTCCCATTCAATTTCCCTGTGCCTAGGAGCTCAAAAATCTTCAGCGAGAACATCAAATGCAGCTATGTGGAGGAAGAGTGTAAATATAAGACACATCCATTGAAGTCCAGGCTTTCTGACAGCCCAAAAACCATTTATCACTGTGACTAAAATGTCCACCCCCAACCCAAAACCGGTAATCACACTCACACTCACACAGCCTTGTGGCAGATGTGCGAGCCCACCTCCTGTCCTTTCAAACCCTTAAGCAGCTCGGACACACACACACACATGCTTCTGGCACTAATCCAGTGGCCCTCTCCAAAGGAGGGACATTGAATGGTTAGGCAAATGGTTGTGTAGCTCTTCACACGGCTAACAGCTGAGCTCTAAGCTCTCCCAGAAGAGCCTCACCCCACAGAGCAGCTCCAGTCAGCTCTTTCCAGCCCACTGCTCTCAGACAACACACTCAGTGATTAAAGCAGTCCCACTGCCCTCCTTGTCCCACACACACACATCCTGTGCCCCCGTCCCACACTGCTCGCAACACACACGCACAAATACATGCAGACACACATGCAGAGATCACTCATAAAAAGACACATGAAATCATCAAGGTTTTTGGACATTTACCATAGAAAATGACTATGATAAGCATTTAGTACTTTGGTATATAAGTAGTGAAGTAATACAGCAGTATTTTTGGACATGTACTGTGGTAATATCATAGAAATATCACTGTATGTTAATATGGTAATCTTTCTGCACCATAGAATATATCAAAGTGGCATGGTATTATCATGTTCTTTGGACAAGGTTCCAGTGTATATAAATATTAGGGTTGGGCCGATAGACGATGTCATCGTCCATCGCCGATGGCTGACAGACATCACGATGTTAAGCTGACTTTCATGTACTGTAATGCAACAGGCTACCGCTAGCAAGCGGCTAACCTTTTAGTGGCTCCGTATAACGCGTTATTTGTTGCACGCTTCGGGCACACCCCTAACCCTGCCCCCGATGTCATCGTCCATCACGATGTTTCACTGACTACGTTTACATGGACATCAGCAATCTAATTATTTACCTTATTCTAAATAAGCCAATATTATGATTATGGTAAAACGTGCGTGTCTACACGTACAAAAGAAACGCGTTCAAAATTGCTGCATTAACGTGGGCAAATTGTGCGTGTTGACAAGGTCGCATTTCACGCGTTCCGTTTAAAGACATTTGGCCCCATCCGCCTTCCATAGTAGTCTGACATGTTTCTTGTCCACAACACAACAAGATTTTAGGAGTCAAAATCGTGTAATCTGACATAGTGACTATCGTGACTGACAAAAATATGGTGTAGTCTGAACCCGGCATAAGGTTTTTACATGTCTATACTGCACTTCAGTAATAGTAATGTGACTAAAATAGGAATACTCCACATGTCTTAATTCGATTTCTGTTTATTTCGATTATGACTTTAGCCGGATTAAGGTAATCAAAAATCTCTGTTTACATGGTTGATTCTTAATCAGAGTACTGTCTTAATCGTATTAATATCAGAGTATTGTTGTCCATGTAAACGTACTCCGTAGACATCGTCCGATGCTAAATTGGTAGACATCGCCCAACCCTAATAAATATATAGTAATCTTTAAGCACTATGGAATATAACTATTAACATGGTATTAACATATTATTTCTGAATAAGATACCGTGGTATAACCATGTTTTAGGGCACATACTATGGTATATATTATGCTGGAATTCATTGTTATTTTTTTAACTGTAACTAAAAAAAAGTTTTTATGTGAAATAAAGCTGAAATATTACAAAGTATAAATATTAGAGGGAAAAAAATCGTAAATAACTGAAATAAAAGTTGAAGTTCTAAAATGACTAAAACTGAAATAAAAATAAAGCTAAATAAAAAACATAAAAAAAAAAAATATATATATATATATATATAAATTGAAAATATCAAAATAAAATCTAATGCAAAATAGTATGCGTTTTATAATAGTATATAAATAATACTGAAATAACAGAAAGAACGGTATTCCTGTTGCATTTCAGAGCCTTAAACCATGGTATTACCATGTTTTTTTGGGTATGGACCATAATAATATTATGGTTTATATCATTTTGTAATCTACTTGTATCCCTTCGAAAAAAGTACTGTGTTGGTACCCACAGTTCAGTGATGGCATTCATGTACCACGGTATTTACATGGTACTTCATGGTTTTCCAAGTATAAGCGAAATATCAAAGTAGCATTAACATGACGTCTTTGATAGGCATCATGATAACACCATGGTAAAATCTTTCAGTACAAAGCGCCACAGTATTGCCATGGCTTTTTAGTATCATGACTTTTGTTTTACAAGTAATGTAAAAATAGGAATGTAAAAAAGTACAATGGTATTACCATCTGATATCACCACTGTACCATATACCAGCATAGTACTTCTTTGTAAGAGATGCCCCACTGCCCTCAACACAAAAAACACACACAATCTGTTCCATAAACATTCCACCACTGGAAACACACAGCCACATGCGCGCAAACAGACACATGCAAATCCATAAGCCGCGCGTGCACACAAACAATGAAAAGCATTCAAATCTGCTCCCGGGGCTAAGAGTCAGCCAGCGCTGTGGAAACGCTTCCTCTGAACACCAAACCAGAAGAAAGAGACAGACAAACGATAGCTGTGACGCGCAACGCAGGGAGGAGAAGATCCAGCCATTCTCTAATCACTTTATCTGATTGTGCATAGCAGCTGAGAAAACATGAGCCACGGGTTAAGGTGAAAATACTTCTCTTTCCAACCCACACAAGCAAACTATCCTCAAGAGCAGGACCCGGGCATCGTTCCTACGACCCCACTGCTGCATTCAGGGCTTCGAACCCGCTCCCTGGACCTCAGAAAGTATTAAATGTGTGGAAATCCCAGGTTTATAAACATCACGGGCAGTTGTAACATCCAACACAAAGAAAAGACTGCATGCTGAGTATCCTTGCCAGGGTGGACCAAACCTCAATTAAAGGATCAAAACTCTATTAGAGGAATAAAAGACCATGGGGAATGCCAGAAAGCAGGAGCTAGAAAGAAAGAGTGCACATGAGGTAACCCAAACAGCACAAAGCAAGCAGGGAAAGAATGAAAGATCACAGGATAGTTTCTACACACAAGTAAACACACATCAAGTTGTTCATTGCGCTCAAACACACACAAACACAAACTCACGGTGCTTACACCGACCCGGTTGAGATGGTCTCCCCGGCAGAACTCCCCTGTTGTCACCCGTTCAGGGAAAAAACAAGGAAAACCGCTGGAATAAAGGAAGAAAGGAGCTCCTCTCTTTGTGAGAAGGAGCGCACACTAGTTCTTTCTCTTTTCTGTGTCTGCCTGCTGAGGAAGGAGAAAAGAAGCTTCTCCCCAGAGACGTAACCCCCCCCAACCCCCTCCCTGAGGTTAATCCCAGCCGTGGCAGCCTCCGTCCCACTCCGCACTCCTTACTCCGTCCTGTGTCGCGGCTCCAGCTCAGTGGCCCGAAAGACAGAGAAAGGGAAGAAGAGAGAGAAAGAGGACAGACGGCAGTGCGAGCAGCAGCGTGAGAGCTGCCTCATGATGAAAGGCGATCCGCTGATCTCATCAAGTAGGGACACCAGGCAAACAGAGAGAGGGGAGGATACGCCCCTTACCCCACCCCGACTCATGCATCCTCCTCCCCACAGTCGTTCACACTTTCGGCTCAGCCAATCAGCCGAGAGCTACTCATAAACACACATGCTTTGAGTCTCCAGCCTGTTACTTCCAGCGCTCGGATATCTGTTTTGAAAGATAATCTGACTCCAGCTCGAGTGGCAACAATGTTATGAGGATGTAGCATTTCTATGCTTATGCCCGACATGAACATTCAATTTTAACACTGCTTAGGAAAAAATGGCTCTATTCAGACAGGACTCATCTTCTTTGAGAAGGTCAGGACAGTTTGTGTTTCACAGATTTGCTTGGTGATTTTAATCCTGTTTAAATTGAACAAACAAACAAAGAACCACTGTAGAAATTATGGCGCAAGTTAATTAAAATATGTTTTTTTGGCTAACTCAAGGTAAACTAATCCTGTCCGCAAAGGAATGTCTGTGATTATGCCTTTTTGCCAGTTTTCTGGGTAAAACTTGTTCAAAATGGTTCTACACTGCTAACATGCAACACAGAATTAAAAATAATAATCTTATCTGATTGTGCATAGCAGCTGAGAAAACATGAGCCACGGGTTAAGGTGAAAATACTTCTCTTTCCAACCCACACAAGCAAACTATCCTCAAGAGCAGGACCCGGGCATCGTTCCTACGACCCCACTGCTGCATTCAGGGCTTCGAACCCGCTCCCTGGACCTCAGAAAGTATTAAATGTGTGGAAATCCCAGGTTTATAAACATCACGGGCAGTTGTAACATCCAACACAAAGAAAAGACTGCATGCTGAGTATCCTTGCCAGGGTGGACCAAACCTCAATTAAAGGATCAAAACTCTATTAGAGGAATAAAAGACCATGGGGAATGCCAGAAAGCAGGAGCTAGAAAGAAAGAGTGCACATGAGGTAACCCAAACAGCACAAAGCAAGCAGGGAAAGAATGAAAGATCACAGGATAGTTTCTACACACAAGTAAACACACATCAAGTTGTTCATTGCGCTCAAACACACACAAACACAAACTCACGGTGCTTACACCGACCCGGTTGAGATGGTCTCCCCGGCAGAACTCCCCTGTTGTCACCCGTTCAGGGAAAAAACAAGGAAAACCGCTGGAATAAAGGAAGAAAGGAGCTCCTCTCTTTGTGAGAAGGAGCGCACACTAGTTCTTTCTCTTTTCTGTGTCTGCCTGCTGAGGAAGGAGAAAAGAAGCTTCTCCCCAGAGACGTAACCCCCCCCAACCCCCTCCCTGAGGTTAATCCCAGCCGTGGCAGCCTCCGTCCCACTCCGCACTCCTTACTCCGTCCTGTGTCGCGGCTCCAGCTCAGTGGCCCGAAAGACAGAGAAAGGGAAGAAGAGAGAGAAAGAGGACAGACGGCAGTGCGAGCAGCAGCGTGAGAGCTGCCTCATAATGAAAGGCGATCCGCTGATCTCATCAAGCAGGGACACCAGGCAAACAGAGAGAGGGGAGGACACGCCCCTTACCCCACCCCCGACTCCTGCATCCTCCTCCCTATGGTCTTTCACACTTTTGGCTCAGCCAATCAGCCGAGAGCTACTCATAAACACGCATGCTTTGAGTCTCCAGCCTGTTACTTCCAGTGCTCGGATATCTGTTTTGAAAGATAATCTGACTCCAGCTTGAGTGGCAACAACTTTATGAGGATTTAGCATTTCTGTGCTTATGTCCGACATGAGATATTCAAATTTAACATTGCTTAGGCAAAAATGGCCCTATTCGGACATGACCCGTCTTCCCTTAGAAGGTCAGGAGAGTTGTGTTTCACAGATTTGCTTGGTGATTTTAATCCTGTTCAAATTGGAAAAAACAAACAAATAAACAAACAAAGAACCACTGTTGAAATGATGGCGCAAATTATATAAAATATGTTTTTGGCTAACGCGAGGAAAGCTAACCCGTCCATATAGGAATGTAAGTAATTATGCTACTTTGCTGATTTTCTGCACTCTAAAAACTGCTGGGTTAAAAATTTTATAAAATATATAAAATAAAAGTTATTTTGGCAAGTTGGGTTATATGTTTGACCCAGTAATGCAAAACATTACTTTTAACAATTATCACTTCATCAGCCTCAAAATAATTAGGCTAGTCTTTATTACATAATGCCGTTTCCTTTAGGAAACTACATTCAATTTAACCGCAAAAAAGAAGATAACGAATTAACATGTAAATATGTTAATAACCCTCTCTTAACACCTCAGAAATGTAAATATTGTAAAATATTATGTAAATATGGCATAAGGCACTCACTGACGTTATATTAAAAGCACCTCTTCCGTTCAGTAAAAGAGGCCGTTAAGACTATTTCTGAGGCAAAATCCGCGTCCACGTATTTTTCAATATAAGCTCTTTTTGGAATATTTCCGCCCTTCCATGAAATCTCAAAACCCCCCCCCCCCCCCAAAGCTACTTAAACCTAATAGCTATTCTAGTCAACTGGATGTGCACTGCTGAGAAAAAAAAACTTTAGACAAGCCGATGCTGGTCTGAATAACTCTTCTAGACAGCATTTTGCTATAACTAGACTTGATCTCTACCCACTGTGCTACACTAACCCCACATCTTTAGGTCAAACATTTAACAGGCACACTTCTCAGTCAAGCTCCAGGTCTTGAATAAACACCATATCCCTCAGTCCTGCAAGCCTTGTCAAACCCGAAACGCACTCAAATCCCTCTGAGACACCCTGAATGTACTCAGTCTTTCAGGGTGATGTGAGTTTCCTGACCATTTCCTCCAAGGCCACACACAAAATGAAAGGTCTGCAGCAGTAAAGAGAGAGCGAGTCACTCTTGCACTACCCCCTCTCAACTTCTTGCTGAAAACTCAATCAGCCTTTTCAAAAGTGCTGACCCCCTCTCTAAGGAAGCTCAGTCTGAACAAAGGCGCAAGTTGCCATGAAAACACACACAGTCTTGTAGGATCAACTGCACCAGACATACTTCATGCCTAAAAAAAGCACAAATTATGCAAATAAGCTACATGTAAAAGCGTTAAGAGTTACAAACCCCATTAAATCAAAACTTTCTTGTCCAGGAAAATGAACCAAAAATATTGATGACTCATCCTGCACTCACTCTTTTTATCCAATCAAATACTCTCTATAACAAGAAAGCCCCTCCCAGTAACACCATCTACTTCTGACCAGCAATAAGGTGCAAAAGTCAGTTTCTGGAAGTAAAGATTCCATTCATTTTATCCACAGGGGAACAGATTTGTAACAGTAACTTACATACTTTTAAAGACAGACTTACTGTGCTCTACAAGGTTGTTAATCAAGGGTATTTGTTTTGTTGAAGCCACCAGCCCACATTATTGCAACTTATTTTTTAAGTAATCATGTTCAACTGAAAAACTACATTGCCCATGATTCTGCCATGAAATCTCCACCAATCAGATAATCGAGATAACCAGAATATACGCTCTCAAATTACTTAAATATTTATATTTAGATGCATTTATAAATGTAATTTTTATATTGTTAATAATTGTTTTATATACATACTCATCATATTTAAATCAATAAGCTTTTTATTTATCCATTGTTTTTAATTTGATCACATCATTTAAAATGCTTTTTGGATTGGGATTGCGGTTCTTTCTAGTTCTAAACTAAAGGCCAGTCACAAATAAGGGCCAATCCCATCAATATATAATGCCGAAACTTCCTATTTCAAAAGTAAACACACAGGAAAGAAAACTGCACTCATCAAGCATCTTGCCTCGAGCTTCTGGTGCAACGGGGGTTTTATTTGTGAAGTGAAGTGTCGCTTCAAATCGCAGTTTCCAACCAAACTCCTACCCATTACTCCAGCTTTCATTGTCTTTCTCCTCTCACTTTCTTTGACCCATTGCTGTGGCCGGCTGTGTAAATTGCCTCCTCGTTTTCTGCTTCAGGGCGTTTTAACACTTTTGGGCCAGCATGTGGTGGGGGAACAGGAGAGATGGGAGGGACTTGTGTTAATCTATCAGACAATAGGGGAGACCCCCTTCCACAAAGAGATAATGGCCCAGCGGACTGAGAGGGGGGCTCCATCAGAGTGGTCTTTGTATAATAGAGGGGCTGTGGAGTGGGAGGGGGGCCCGGCACACCTCCCGGCGACACACGTGTCACAAAAAAAGCCCCGCAATTGTACGAGCACCAGTGCTGGAGGACAGAGAGGTGAGGGGTGGAAAGGAGGGGATGAGAGGGGAGTCAAAAAGGATGCTCATCTGGCAGTTACAAAACTGCCCCTGGACAGATGGCAAACACGCAAGTGAAGAGAAATGAGAGAATGAGAATGAAAAAAAGAGTGCGGTTCATGTGGTGACAGATATGATGACACATATTCAGAAAGCAGACATTAACAAGCGCGCAAGCTTCAGATTACAATAACAGATCACACGTACAGCACACAGATGGATGGATCCAGGAGGAAGCAACTATATTGCCCTTCTCTTTGTGTATGACACAATAGCCGCTTACATCAGTGTGTGGCGGCACATGGAAAACTCTGCCACCCCCCTCTATTCGGGCACCCAGTGCAAACAGACCAGCTGGATTAATAAATCTGCAAAGATGTCAACAATTCTGTGTTTTTCTGTCAATATGGGGTGCTGTGTGTACATTAATGAGGAAAAAAAATTAACTTAAATGAATTTAGCAAATGGCTGCAATATAACAAAGAGTGAAAAATTTAAGGGGGTCTGAATACTTTCCGTACCCACTGTATATATATGAATATGCTAATATGAACTAATGCGTTACACGTTTCCACATTAGGATGTGTAACAAAACAGAAAATGGTTAATGATTCAATCACTTGAAAGATTCTAATCAAAACCACAGATTTGTTCATGAAACACCACTATTTCATATCAAAGCTAACTTATTATTTTTTATTTTTTTTTGTCAAAGTTCTTTTATGGAACCAATTTGCACAAAAATGTTCTAATGCGAAAGCCCCCACTGAAATCTTTTATATCGAACTGGACACTTGGTCTAAGTGTCTGTGTAGGGTTGCATTTCCTGATTTCCCAGAAATCCCACAGATACAGACATAAAGATTTGCACATTTGTCCACAAAAAGGAGTGTTTGTGGGCAAAGCAAAACAAATCAGACAGG